CACAGATGCTTTGACTAAATCAAAACTATAAAAGAACTTCCTCCGGCCAGCAATTATAACCTCTGTACCATCAGGCAAAAAGGATGCCTTATGTACCGGGCAGTCTTCCATGAATATGCTCTGAATCTTGGGATTACGCTTTCCATCAACTTGGAAAAATCTCAATCGCCTATCGAATCCAGCAGTCAGCAGCAACTGACCATTTCTGTGAAACTGGACCGAGTTAATTGGACCATTAGAAGGTTCTTCAGCATTAGCATCCACCAGCCTTGAGTACTCCAACAATCCAGGCAAAAGTTTGGTACCACCCTTTATGACAAGCTCATCATTGCCCCGAAGAATATCATCACCCTCAGCACCATCAAAGCCACGAGCAATGGTGAGATCACTTTCATCATCAGACTCATCCTCAGAAATGCCACGGCGAGCATACTTCCGATCAACATTTGCCCATTCTGTTCCTGGGTTTAACTTAGCATGCTGAGCACGCAATCGAGCAACATAGTCTGCACCTGAGATCACATGCTCGTCAGCCTCCTTCCTCAGCTTCCTCAACCTATTAACACGGACTACGTCAACCTCTGTCCTTTCTTCCTCCTCGTCAACCCAGACGGGCTTCCGCTCTTCACTGAGGTCTTCTTTGCCCATAGCGCAGAAGTCGTTTTCAAACACAACCATCTCATTGCTCGTAGACCTATCCATGAAGAACAAAGGGGCATCCTTGGCCACCTGCTCCTGGCCATCGTCATCTCCGTAAGTGTCCTTGTTGAATTCAATGGGAGTGTAAAGGTTGCCAAACAAGAAGCCCTCAAGCCTCTTCATCTCCTCCTGTTCAGTTTTGCGTGCTTTTTGCTTTGACGAATCATCAGAATTACTCCTCCTCTTCTTCGATTTTTTCAACTTGAGTTCATCAACTGGCTCTACTTCTTCATCAGCATGTGCAATCGGAGACACATCAGCTATTTCTCTATCAAGTTTCTTGTCCCTTTGTTGTTTAAGAACAGCGTTTTGGGAAATTAAGCTCATTTTAACTGCAAAAACTGCAATATTAATAGAAAATTAAAGCAAAAAAAGGGATGTGAACACAATTGAAAAAGGGAAACCCAGGCAAAAAGTTTAAGCACAATTAAAAGTGAAAAAAAGCTTTTTTCTACGAAACAGGTTGCATCGCATTGCAATACTTCGCAAGTGTCTGGTTTGCTGTTCCCTTTTTCTATTTCTTTTCCTATATTACCTCTCTTCTCGTGACCTCTAACGTTCTAACAGAGGCGGTGCCGCTGGTGGCTGCGGCCCGAGGGCGGTGGTGCAACCGATGGCGCTGGTGTCACGCACTGTCGAGAAGCCGAGGTAGAATCAAGGTGAAGAAAGAGAAAATATGGCGAGGCTCGGCGGCAAAGAGTAGCAGGACGCGGGACCGGCCAGGCTACGCGGCAGAGCAACCGGTAGGGGAAAGTAGAGAAGAGCTGGGTGAGAAAGAAGTGTGACCGCGCAGCGGGGCAGCAGGAGGGGCGGCGGGTTTCGGGAGTCTTAGGGCAGAGACGACGGTATGTAAATCGCGCCTCGTTCGCAGGTTTTATGTAATTTTGTCGTTACCAAAATTTCTCAAGTACCCCTACGAATTCCATAATCTTTCGTCTCGTCCCAACTTAAAAGTGTTTCAAGTCTGGAAAGATGACGTATTTTTAGTCTTTTTATTCTCGCCATTGGGTTGGACCCATCGAAGGCACTAAATGGATCGGTCCGACCCTCGCTATATCATTGAATTCTCTCATTCCTTTGCTTTCTCGACTCTGTTCTCGTCGAAAACCTCACGCACTTCAGCCATTACGAAATCTCCTCGTATGTCTCTTAACCCTTAGACCTACCTATGAAGCATTCAACGAAATTCTCAGGAGTATCTGTTCACTTTTTAACATTTATTATCGTCGAAATCTCCGACTTCCTCTCGAACATTTATTATCGTCGCAACATCTTGCATGTCCCCATCATCGATGAACCCTTTAGTTCATCCCTTACCCCTCCGTTGTAACTTTGACGGAATCTGTTCACTGTCCATATTAAAAGGAATATGAATACGGTTTTGCCACTGCCCAAATCTTTTGTCAACTAATTTATATTCGCTTTCCCATTCTCTTTGCTGCACTTTAACATCTGAATATATAAACCATCTTGTATTATATCCTCTTAAAATTACTATCCTACTTATGTTTAAGTACAAATGGGGATATCATGAGTTTGTGGTCATACTATTAAATTATGTAAGATATATTAGGGTTATGAATGGATTGGTTTCGGTTATCGAAAAAGAAAAAAATCTAATTATGGTATAAATTCTTAGAAGATGATCAAGGGATATGAGGTCATGAGATGAACCATCTTAATTACTTATCCTAGACACTCTGTTATTACTTATAAATAGACAATACCTCATAGGGATCATACACACGATGTGTAAATAATTGAATATACGGATACACGGATGAATGGATATATGACATTATTAAAAGATTATAAATCTTCTCCGATCTCCCTTTAGTCATATGAACCACTCAATAAGATATTATAGATCTTCTATCATATCCCCTTTATCCCTAAATTCATCGTCATAGTGATCCAGTGACACTATAGCTCTCGGATTCAATGATAGTGCACTCGTAAATCAGATAAAAACTTTTTGAGTAGCATAAAAAAGATACGTATCGTAAATTTAAATTTATTATTATTTTATTTCAGATTTTAGCATAAAAATCTTTTGCATAATAATAGTATATCATGATTTTTATGTATACAATTAGTATCAGAGTCATGGTTATGAAATTAAATACTTTAGATCTATTTGTTAGCACATTTTACTTACGAAATGGTGTTAGTTGGTTTTTATTTATAATGCATGAACGATTTATTGGAATTATCGATATATTTTTTTATTTAGTCTATCTAATCGCTTACTTATAGGCAATGTAAGATTTCTCGTGCTTAATGGATAGACTATTGTCCATAGCTTGCCGTCGGTATAAATTGACCAAAAATTAAAAAAATTATTTTTTTAAAGTACTCTATTAACTAAAAATGGTTCATTTAATGATCTAAAAATATAAAAAATAATCATTTATAGATTCAATATATATATATTCAAGGTATCATGAAAATTTAGGGCAAAAAAAATTAATTTCAGCTTGAATTGGGAAAAAATATGTAAATAAAAAAATTTCAGCTTTTAAGATTCAAAAAACTGAAAATATGTTCTTTAAAGGTCAAAAAATAAAAACAATACTTGTTTTGAGCTCTATGGTCAATGACAATGATTCATAGAAATTAAAAAGATTTTTGAGAAAAAAAATTAGTTACATTGATTTTGAATGGAGTTATACTATTTTTAAACAAGACCCAAAAAAATAATATAAACCTATTCAAAATTAGTTCAACTGGAATTAACTTTTATACTTTGGGCCCAAAGTTTTAAAATATCTTGAAAATAATTTGTGTGTGTGCCTAAATGACCTTTTCTTTTATTTTTATATTATTTAATACATTAATCTCGATAAATTCAGCCATAAATAGGCTGAATTATTTTAAAATTCCTATTTATATAATATTTTGAAGGTTCAAGGTGATTTTGTGCCATATAATCTCTAATATAATCAGAGATTCATTTAACAAGTTTTGACATAAAACAAATATTTTAAGTTATAAATTGACCAAAAATAAAAAATTAAAAATTTAGCTTTTTAAAGTGCCCTATTAACTAAAAATATTTCCTTTCATGATCTAAAAATAGAAAAATAATCATTTATGGATTCAATGGATATTTTTAAGGTTTCATAAAAATTTTGGGTAAAAAAGTTAAAATTTCAACTTAAATTGGTAAAAATAAGATAAATTTATCTTTTAAGATTCAAAAATCTGAAAAAGGTTCTTCAACGGTGAAAAGAGTAAAAAAAATATTTATTTTGAGCTTATATGATCAATTACAAGGTTTTATGAAAATTTTAAATTTTTTAAAGAAAATTTTAAGTTATACAGATTCTAAATAGGGTTATAATATGACCGAAAAGAGTGTAACCCTATCCCAAATTAGTGTAACTTAGGATTAGTTTTATATTTTAGACTCAAAATTTCTAGACACATTGAAAATGAGTTGTGTAGGCCTAAATGGTTCATTTTTTGATTTTTAAAAAGAAAATATCTATTTTGTGACTGAGATATGACTTGGTGTTTATCAAAGTAGAGAATTTACTAAAAAAATTCTAGTAATGAGCTTTTACCAGATTGTGCTCCTATATTTGATTTATATTTGATTTTTATTAAGGGTATTCTTTTTAAAAAAATTATGATAATACTTTTGAATCAAGCCACTTCAAGCCCAATCGTTCATAGGTCCAATTCAATCTAGTTTGGATATCTAGATTCAGGTTAGGTCAATTCAAGTATTTAAGTTATAATCAAATTACACAATTATAGAACCTATTAAATATTGAATCTTGCACGTTGGGCTATAGTTGAATATGTTAGGAGATTGGACATCGGATCGGAGGATTGGTTGACATGTCGATAGAAGGACTTCATGGTGTAAGTTCGGACATCGGACCGAAGGATCAGATATTACGCCAAGGAAATTAGAAGTTGTGGGAGTCAACATGTCAATCGGGCAATATACCTAAGGAGAGGACGATGCACCGAATGATCAAACAAAACGCTGGAAGAACCAATGACATACCGGACAACATATGATTCGTGCTCTGTAATAATTTGTCTAGATCTAATAGTCCTACATGGTGATGATGTGTACATGTGATGTTTGATGTGGACGAAAGATCATGGACCATGTGATGTGTGTGTACATATGATTATTATTATTATTAAGGCCTACAAGTCTATAATTTTATTCACGTTTATTGTTGGGCATGCACATCTATGATTAAGTTATAATCATACGAGGAGGCACAATGGGAGCGTAGAGGTGATAGCAGAACCCATGAGGCCATGACGGATGATCGTGATGCATGGAGATGCATCGAGATGTCGACGGAACTGACAAGGATGAGATGAACGATCACAGGGTATGAAAATACATCGCTACACACATAGATCTTGATGTCAGTGATTGCGCCTACTAGCTCAAGCCTGATCACATTAGGCTATGGTCCATGATCATCTAGTGTGATTGCTCATGTGATGTATGATTGTTTATACACCTACTATATATGTATATATATTTGCATGTGATATAGATATCTATTAAATATATATATGTGTGACATGTCATAGTAGAAGACCAAAACAAAATCCTCTCTTTTGATAATATTAAGTCGGTAAATGTGAGGCAATTAGATTGACACACGTGGCCTTCCATATTATAGGAAGAAATCGATTCCTAACGTAGGTTGAGTTGGTCAAGTCCCTTGAGAGCATATCATCGAATCATACTCATCTTGTAATGATGGTGATGAGTTAATTGGACTATTGAATCTTGGATTTTGATGATGAAATTAATTGATGAGTTAACGATCTAATACACGTTTTGAGTAACGTAGGACTAATTTTGATTAGAAAAGGTAAATTAATTAAAGCAAGAGGAATAAGAGATTGGGCCAAAGTTGAACATGTCAGGAGATTGGATGTCGGGCCAGAGGATCGGTCGACGTGTCGGTAGAAGGACTTCGTGCCATGAGTTCGAGCATCGGGCTAAAGGATCGAACATTGCACCAAGGAGATCGGAAGTTGTGGGAATCAACATGCTGATTGGGCAATAAGTAAGGAGAGGACAAAGCGCCGAAAGATCGAACGAAGCGCTAGACGAACCAATGACATGTCGGACAACATATGATTCATGCTTTGTAATAATTTATCTATATTAAATTAGTTTAGATCTAATTGAGTTGGTATTGGAGTGAAACAATGATAACTCAATTAGAGGCCAATTGGGCCTGAATAAAAGCTGAATTGGGCTTATTGTTTGGCCCATTCAATGTCCTATAATAGGGTCTAATGGTGGTACCACCTAGACTAAGGTGGTACCACCCAGACACAGTCTTCAATATTGTATCAAGTAGTGGTATCACTAGATTGGGCGGTGGTACAGCTAGACTAGGCGATGGTATCACCTAGTGTCAATGTGTTAAGCAGTAGTACCGCCAGACCGGGCGATGGTACTGCCCAGTGTCAGAACTGACAAGCGGTGGTATCACCTAGTGTCAAAACTGACAAGTGGTGGTATCACCCAATATTGGCGGTGGTACCACTAGTACCTCGAAATCTCGGGGATTTGAATTTTGACTCCACTTTTTGAAGTCATTTTGAGCCTATAAAGGTGACTGCTAGTTATAGGTGCTCTACAAGCGAATCATGTGAATGATAGCACGTGTGACATGACATGCACTCTTTTTGCTTATTATATTATTTAGCATTTTATCACTTTATATTACTTATTAAATGAATATATATTGTGATATCAATGGATCTGTGCAATGGGAATCGGATCCTGATGAGATCACGATAATGAGATCGCTTCGTCTTTAAACACAGACCCAAAATAATCCTGGTCATAGG